TATTCTATATGCAAAATGTAAAACAAATCTGCATCCAAGAACTTAATAATCTAGCCAACCCTCAAAACATCGAACTTTAATATTTACTAACCTTCGAAATTTGTTGAGTCATCTGATGGTGTAAATGGAAGAACTGGTTCAGCAGGTTGAAATGTAGCTTGGTTCATTGCAAAATCGTCAGGTTCGTCCTCGTCTAAGACAACAAGATTATCCACCGTGTTCTTGAACTTGGAGAATGAATTTCTGATCATGATTCTCTCGCTCAATTTCCTTACTGAATCATAGACATATCGATATATAAGATTGTATAAACTAGGTATACGAAATGGAATCAACAATACGATTACCTCGATTTGGTGCAATAACGATACCGGGTTGAAAATTTTCTGCCATTGCTCGTTCTTCGTAATAGTATGCTGTGAATCTTCAATGAATCYCGCTAATGTAATACAATGCAGAGTGATTATCGCATTTCGTAATCTCTGCRCATCGTTACTTWGAATAGATGAAATCCCCAATTCCAATTTTACYCTTATTTGCCCTCAATATATGAAGCGCGTGTTTCCCAACTTCATTTTTATTACAATTATGCCATGAAATGCATCTGAATCATTGATTAAAAATTGAATGGTTGAGATAAGGGTTGCATAGGTTGTAGGAATGACAAAGGGTGTAGAATAACATCCCTATATATATATATATATATATATATATATATATATATATATATATATAATCACATTGGAAAACGTAGTAAACATCTAAGATATGAGTCTTGACCTTACTGCAACGCCAAAAATCTCACTATTTAACTTCATGGTTTCTGTTAGTTGATTATTTATTGTTTGTGGGTACGAAATGTAAAACATATGGAAGTTGAAGGTCTGTTTCTTTAAATTTACTATAAAGCTTGTGTGCTATAATTTATTCTCAGAAGTTGAAGGGTAATTTAGCAATAACGAAAAAGTATGAGGGCTTTAGTGTATAACTATAAATACCATTTTTTTCTTTTCATTTCATTTCTCTCTCTCTCTCTCTCTCTCTCTCAATTTTCTTCTCTCTCTCTAGTTTCGGTTCTGATCTTCTCTTTGTTGAAGTTCTTATCATTTTTAGCCGATCATCGTTCGCTTGATTCGAGCTGAGATTTAGGCTTTCAATCGCTATTGTGTTCTTGATCCTTTTGTAATTTTTTTCTGCATTTAATCTCGTTCGATCAGAAACCCTGAGATTGGAGAAGATTTAGGGTTTTTCCCCTCTTTCATCTTCATCATATTGATCTTATACCTATTCCCCTCTACTGTTTACTGTGAGTTTTTGGTTTCCTTTTCCATAAGACTATAATTATCGATTCCAATTTCCGCTTTTGTGTGAGGATTTTTGTTCGAATTCGTCGTCTTGATAAAGATGTTGGAGAAGATTGGATTGCCTCCGAAGCCATCAGTAAGAGGAAATAATTGGGTGATCGATGCGTCACATTGCCAAGGATGCTCTTCACAGTTCACTTTTATCAATCGCAAGGTTTGATCGGATTTAAATTACGTGGTTTTGCCGTTTCAAGTTGTAAATACTCTTAATCACTTGTTACGATTGGGCTTTGATGGATGGAGAATTGATTGTTGAAATTCGCTCAAACTTGATGGAAGTTTATTGTAAAATTCTATTTGACTTCTCAAAGTCAAATGACTGTGATCCAACTTCAAACTCTCTTTATAACTAAATTGATTATGCAAGAAATGCTAAAAGATGGAACTGTTTTGGGCTTAAACTTATCAACCAGGAAGGATCTGAATTCTGAACTACGATGCTACTTAGAACTTCAAATCCATATAGTTCTCTAAGGTTTTATGTTTCAAATATCCTTAGTATTAGCTCAGGGGATGTTAATCTTTTCCCATTATATGGCCTGTTAGCAGCTTAATGAGACTCGCAGCTTATTCGGTCAGGTATACATGACTGTTTGTTGGTGGCTGAATGATAGAGAAAATGGCTTATTCAGTAAGCTGGGGTTGTATGCAGATAGGCAAGTTTTTTCCAAACTTGCCCTTCCCAATAAAAGAAAACACGCTCCTTCAGTCTATGAAAAAGACGGTCCTATACAAAAACCTTCCCGATCTATACAGACAAATTAATCCACATAGCTTTATCCATACAGGATTTAATGGAAAACCAACCAAACAGCCCTAAGCCCTCTATGAATTAAGTTGTCTGTCTGGATAAATTTATCTATCGGGGAGGGACATAAGACCTAAGATTGATGGATTTAAGGGAGGCAAAGAAAGAGGGTTGGTTTATTTCTGGCTGGTATTTTTTTGTTTGAGGTGGCTTAATGGGATAAACAAGTAAGGGATCCTTGCTTATTTCATATAGCCATTCCGGCTTAATGGCGTAACGATAAAGCCGTAGAGAAACACACTTGTATGGCTGAATGCGTCTAGACCATTAAGTTCATTAAGCTGCAAGTAAAACAACTTCTTAGACCAAGATTAAAAATGGGGTTATTAGATCATGAAAATTCATCAAAAACAAGGGTAATTCTTCATAAAACCGACTGTAGCAAAATTATAATTAGCGATTGTAGAAAAACTTGGTGGATTGCTTCTAATGGAAAATGTTATTTGCTTCTGCTTTGAATGTTTCTGATAACCCTTTGTTTTAAAGTTGATTATATTGTAATCTTATCCTAAAGTTGGATGCATTCTACTATATTTCAGAAACATTATGGTAATCTTTGACTTCTGTCTGTCTGCCTAAAACCTAAAACCCCCATGATTATTGATTTTGAGCTTCGTTTGACCATGAGAAAGTCACTTGTCTTGTAGAAATGTCTCAAACTGTTTACGCTTCTCGTTTGAACCTGTCCCACATGTCATAATACATGCTTCTTTTTATAACTTATGTATATATATGCGGATTTGCAGCATCATTGCCGAAGATGTGGGGGGTTGTTCTGTGGAAGTTGTACCCAGCAAAGAATGTACTTACGAGGTCAAGGTGAATCACCTGTTCGTATTTGTGAACCCTGTAAAACTTTAGAAGAGGCAGCTCGTTTTGAAATGCGATATGGACACAAGAATAAATCTAAAAGAGGTAAGTTCCTATACATAGATACTGTCTTTTTTTATCTCGTTCTATGTTCATCATGTGTTAATCCTGCACAGTCGGGGTTCTTCATGAAACAACCACTCTACTCTTTGAAGTAGAGGTCACATCTGCCGTTTCTTTACATCTCACCCCAGACCCTACTTTCTAGTGGGAGATGTTGGGTCAGTTTGGTTTGGTTTACTTTATGATTTTCTCAAACATTATATACTTGAAAAATGATGTAATTTTTGAAATTAATTAAATTCTTGAGAGTGTCGTTAGAGTTGATGAGAAATACTTCCTTCGTTCCACATCAATTGCAACTTTTGACTTGATACATTGTGTGATTAAATGTTTGACTGTTTGCTCAATATCGAAAACGTCTTTCACCACAAACCAAGGAACCATACAATCCATTCACGTTAAGTGACGGTAAACCGAAAAGAAAATGCAGCAATTATTATGAGGCATTTGCAAAAGGATGCTTTGGTACATAGACAGGATGGGACCCCTCCCCCCCAGGGGGTTGAAGTAAGTGGGTGAAAGAATTGTGCGAGCTTTTTGGGTTTTAACTTGACATGGGTAGTTTAGTAATTTACCCGCCTTGTCCAATGTACCAAACACAACCTAAAAGTGCTTATATTGTGTTTCTTTTACAGGGGCTCCAAAACTTGCATCCGATTATGAGGATGATGTCTTGACCAAAGTTCTCGGTGACGGTGGAAATGAATCGGTTTCATCAGATAAAGAGTCGGTTCACTCGCTGCAACGAGCCACAAGTGCATCATGTTCGAATAATGACATGGAGCTTGACCTCGAGTCAACTACTCCCGAAGAACTGAGACAACGAGCGGTGGAGGAAAAGAAAAAGTATAAAGTTTTGAAAGCGGAAGGAAAGCCCGAAGAAGCCTTGAGGGCTTTTAAAAGGGGAAAAGAGCTCGAAAGACAAGCTGGAACTCTCGAGATCGAATTGAGAAAAAACCGTAGGAAGGCTCTTTCATCGAGCAGTGCAAATGAGAGCACAAAGGTTGGAGTGGGAAAACAGCCGAAAGAAAAGGATGATCTCGTTAGCGAACTCAGAGAACTTGGATGGTCGGATCTTGATCTTCATGATGCTGATAAAAAGCCCGTAAGCATGACCTTGGAGGGCGAATTATCGACCCTACTCAAAGAAGTCTCTCAGAAGACTACTAATCCCGAAAAGGGTAGTTTCGGTATCGACAAATCTGAGGTTGTTGCTATCAAGAAAAATGCACTCGCTCTTAAACGTGAAGGGAAGCTTGCTGAAGCCAAAGAAGAACTTAAGAGAGCCAAAATACTCGAAAAGCAGATTGAAGAACGGGAATTGTTGGGTGATGATGAAGATTCTGACGATGAGTTCTCGTTGTTGGTTCGTAGCATGGGTATTGATAAACATGACGTTTTAGCAACTGGGAATGATCGGGATCGTAACTTTGACTTTGACCATCTTCTTCGTATGGACGATGTTCCCAATATCGATGGTAACTTTGAAGTGACCGAAGAAGATATGGACGACCCCGAAATATCAGCCGCTTTGCAATCTTTAGGCTGGACTGAAGATCATGCGGTTGATAATAAGGAGGCACGGTTAAGCGAAATACGGTCGTTGAAATTAGAAGCACTTAACAAGAAACGAGCCGGTAACACCGCAGAGGCGATGGCATTGCTAAAAAAGGCAAAATTGCTTGAATCCGATCAAGAAAATGATGGTTTGCATCAAGGTTCCGCAGCTGCACCGTTGAAACTCGATTCAGACCGTAAAACGGCACCGAAAAGCAAGTTAGCGATTCAACGAGAGCTTCTTGCTTTGAAAAAGAAAGCTCTTGCTTTACGGAGGGAAGGGAAAACGGATGAGGCCGATCAAGAATTAATGAACGGGAAAGCTCTCGAACAGCAACTCGAAGAGTTGGAAAACGGTCCGAAAGTCAAACCAGCAGCAACTAAGGGTATTGACCTTTCTGCACCGATGGACGTTCAAGATGAAGGCGAGGATGTGACTGACACCGATATGAACGATCCATCGTATCTATCGCTTTTACAGAATTTGGGTTGGAAAGACGAAGATGATGGAAAAGTTGAAGCAGCGGCCGAGCCCGAACCACCAAAACGGAAAAGTAAAACCGAGATTCAAAGGGAGCTTTTGGCACTAAAACGAAAATCGCTCGCTTTGAGACGCCAAGGAAACGTCGATGAGGCCGAAGAAGTTCTTCAAAAGACGAAAAATTTAGAATCCCAGTTGGCGGAAATGGATGTTGATAGAAATGCAGGCGGAGAAACAGTCGTTAGCGAGGTTTTCATGGCAGAAAAGGATGTTGATAGAAGTGCAGGTGGAGAAACAGTCGTTAGCGAGGTTTTCATGGTGGAAAAGCCTCAAACAAGTACCGTTGCTGCGGTTTTTGTAGACGATAAACCTCGAGTTGATGCACACGAGTCTGGCTCAGTCCAACAGCGTATCTTGGCTCACAAGCGAAAAGCGGTCAGTCTGAAGCGAGAAGGAAGGATAGCCGAAGCTAAGGAGGAGCTAAAGCAGGCTAAACTTCTCGAGAAAGAGAATACGACCATGGAGAACAAGAACCTGGATTCGGAAACGGGCGAACGAACTCCGGTTCCAAGTACGAGCAAAACAAACGGTTCGGATGTGGTGCACGACACCAGGAAGGAGGAAACCGATGATTCGCCGCCTAAACTGTCATCTCGTGACCGATTCAAGTTGCAGCAGGAATCATTAAGCCACAAGAGGCAAGCACTTAAGCTGAGAAGGGAAGGTCGGACTGAGGAAGCGGATGCTGAGTTTGAATTGGCCAAGAATCTCGAAAGTCAACTCGAAGCCGCCAACGAGTCAACGAAACCAGCAAGAAACGTCGATGACGTCAGCGTCGAGGATCTTCTTGATCCTCAACTTTTATCCGCTCTTAGAGAAGTAGGAATAGAATCTTCTCCGCCTGAAAAGGCTAAACCGGTGGTCAACAAGATTCCGGCAGAGGCTGCCACTGCCAAACTGGTGATCAATAAGCCGGCAGAGGCTGCCACGGCCAAGCCGGTGATCAATAAGCCGGCAGAGGCTGCCACGGCCAAACCGGTGATCAATAAGCCTGAGACCGCAAACGAAGATAGAACGGAGCTGGAAGAGCGGATCAAGGCGGAGAAGGTGAAGGCGGTGAAGTTGAAACGTGCGGGAAAGCAAGCGGAGGCGTTGGATGCGCTTCGACGAGCAAAATTGCTCGAAAAGAAGCTAATTTCGTTAGCGTAAAACCGAGGTTTTCGACCGTTTTAAACGGTGTATTGTTGAATCGATATGAAATTTTTGATTCATAAATTGTTCCACAACTCTTTTGAGGAATAAAATTTGGATTTATGTATCAAAATGTAACGAAGTTTGTAATAAATTCTATTCAGTGTAACGATTAATATCTGTTCTTTAATAAACGTTGTAAGATTTTATATTATGTTCGTATTTCACATGATAAACGGGTTTTCAATCTACTTAATAGTTTCATTAAGAGACGGCCTCTGAATCTTTGAGAGACGAATCTTGTTTGATAATTTTTTTTTCTCTTAATGATTCTAAAACCCTCTGAATGATTTTATATCTTGGACCTCATTTAACCATTTAGCCCTTTGATTTCATTGTAAACAATTACCGAACAATTATATATCATTTTGCTCTATATCATGAGAGTCTTTTGATCATTCTGACCACTTTATCATTCTGCACCAAACCATTCAGCAATTGACAAACAGCTAACTTGTAAACAAGTTTATTTAGTGGGTGTTCATCTGTTGAAATCCATCCATTAAATTTAAGCAGATCAAAGTGACCTGATCTAATCATTGTTTGGATGTTGGATTTTGTCATATGATCTGAGCCAATAAAAAATTTGACAACCGATCAATCCAATGCATGATTGAGTCGGATCAGTTCCATCAATTGGATATTACTATTGGTTATCTAATGTATCGCATCGGTTTCATCCAATATTTTTATTCAAATGCAACCATTTATTCATATATATTTTTCTAATTTTTTAAAGGGCAAATTGCATGAAAAAACTTTCATTTTGGTACCTAAGATGTAAAGTTGTAAACATTTAAGTACCTGAGTAACCAGCTGAAATATTAACCGGTTACCATACCGATGTGACGAGTGATAAGATGAAGTTGGGTTGAATAACAAATAATACCGAGTTTGATACCACTTCACTCGCCACATCAGCATGATAACCGGTTAATTTTTCAACAAGTTATCCGAGTACTTAAATGTTTAAAACTTTACATCTTAGGTACCAAAATGTAAGTTTTAAAAGTAAAATATCTAAAATAGGAATCAAGTTAAATACGTTACTTTTTCATGCAATTTACCAATGAAAAAACAACCATTTCAACATATATATATATATATATATATATATATAAATATATTACGAAATAAAAACAAATAAAAACTAAAAGATATATCATTCTTTTGATTTAATCAAAATTATAAGAACAAGAACACCCTAATCAGATAAACCATAAACCCTAAACCCCAAACCTCAAATCCCTTTTTAGAATCCTTTTTTTTTCATCATAATCTTGAAAAGATTACATAAAAACAAGAACTGAAAGTTCATACATTACTCACCTTCAGCAGCAGGGATGATCAAATTGTAGCGTCGAAACTTATTCGAGTTCCCGATATCCACAAGCTTCTTAGCTTCTTCGGTTTTCGACTCCTTCACCAATCCATCGATCACGAGCTGCATCACATTCGGATCAAGAAGACACTTTTCTTGAACCGCCTGCTTAAAAAGCTCAACGGCCCAATCGATATCGCCCGTTTTACAAACGAAACGAATCAGAATCGCAAATGTGGCCTTATTAGGAGCTGAATCACTTTCCATCAAGTTTGCGTACCAGTTCTTCGCTTGTTCTAAATTGCCATCGTTACAAAACCCTTGGATTATCGCATTGTAGCTGAATTCATCGGGTTTGAGATCTTTCAAACCCAATTCACCAAAGAATTCAACGGCTTCTGATAGTTTCTTCTCCGCAACTAATCCAACCAATCGAGCGTTGTAAGTTCGGATATCGGGTGAAATGCTCGTATTCCTCATCTTCGCCCAGAATCTCTCGCCGTCGACAAACTTACGGTTTCCATATAACCCGATGAGTAACGTATTGAAAGTGATCAAATCAGGCTTCAAACCATTCTTTTCGACTTCATCGAACAGAGAAACAGCCGAATCGAACGAACCCATCTCGCAAAACGCCTTGATCGCGGTGTTATACGAAACAATATCCGATTTAATGGAGAGTTTTTCCGGCAAATCCCGGAAAAACCCATCAAGTTTATCAAACTTCTTGGCATTAACACAAGCCCCCAAAAGTGCATTAAAAGATTTAACAGTTTGTGGACATTTTCTCTCTGGCATTTCGTCGAACACCTTGAAGGCATGATCAAACATGCCGGATTTCCCGTATAACGAAATCAATCGGACCGCAAACCCTTCTTTGGAAATCTCATCGTATTGTTTCTGATCCTCGAGGATTTCTTCGATCCAATTGAATTTCTTGGCGGAGGCGAGACGGCGGACGGTGTTGCCGTAGACATTGGCGTGTTTACGGAACATATGCGATTCCGATAACTTTTTGAATTTCTGAACAACCCTTTTGAGATTGTGTTCCTTGTATAGGTCATCGGAGAAAGATTTCGCCGGCGATTTGGAGACTGAAGTGGAGAAGAAGGTGCGAAAGATGCGAGAAATGGAAGCCATTTTTAGAGTGTTGTGGAGGTCGGAAAATATGCCGGCTTGTTGAAAAGCATCCACTTCACTGATATCAAGTTTGTGTTTTTAAGCTTTGTTGTGTTTATGAGTTGAAACCCTAATTCAAGGTTTTCTTCTTTTATCAGATCGATGAAAATGGAACTGAAAATAAAGGAGCAGTTTTGTACTAAACGATAAACTTTAGGGATCAAATTTGTAATTTACTCAAATTATTATAATCTATACTAGATTATAAAGCATTTCATAAAAACTCTTAAAAACAATTTTTTATGCATAAAGTACTGTTTATTAATGCATATTACTTAAAACTCAAGATTATAAGTAAATTGTGTGTAAGTTTAACTTATTAAAGCTTCATATCCAAATTCGTGTAACTAACTGCAGATAGACATAATCAAATATAGGATAAACATCTTATTTTAAATATAAAAAAGCTAAAATAAAATTAGGATAATTATTAAGTTCTAACAGAATATTCAATTATTATCTTTATAAAATTTATAATATTAAACCAAAAATAAATTATTTCATTATTAAACTTAAATTAAATTATAATAAAAAAATAAATTATAGAAATTACTTAAAAAATAGAACTTTTAAATAGTTGATTTCATATTAACATTAATATTTTTTTTTTAAATTTTTATAATATATTCAAATTTATATTTTATTCAAAAATAAAATCATTATTGTTTTCTTAAAAACACATAAAATAGTATTATAACATCGACATAGATAAATAATAAAATAAAACATTAAAATCGAAATGTGTCTCGTTGTATTGTACGAGTACTCTTCTAATTTCCTTAAATTATAACGTAATATTAACAATTACTCTAAAAATTTCATACATCAATGGTTTATAAATTGACATACGAGTTTTAAAATTAGGTTTTTAAATAATTATAATTTCAAAAATCAATTAAGTTTTAATACCAAAATACTAGAAGTAAGTTACAAAAAAGGTCCTTGTGGTTTAGAAAAACTTCGGTTTTCATCCATCGACTTCAATAATTACACAAATAGTCTTATGGTTTGCATTTTGTTACGGTTTTCGTCCTTGACCCTAATGTTTGTTAGCTATTGTTGTTAAATAACTTCATATGCTAGTCATGTGAGGGTATTTTGACCAGTTTGCATGGTTTTTTTTATCAGTTTGCAAGGATATTATGTATATGTACAATCATTTGAAATAAAAAAAAAAAACTAAATAAATCCTAAAACTACTCCCCACTAGCCCATGTCCATCAAAAATACTGACATCTTAAAAAGAGTTTTTAACCTAGCGGTATCGTAGTCCTTGGCTTTCTAGGAGATCAGAGGTTCAAATCTTACCCAAGGTGAGGAGTGTTCGTGAGTTTATTTGTTGCATTTGTTGTATATAAATATTACATATATTTCAAAAAAAATCTGACATCTTTCTCCGCGGCGAATGCTCCTTCTTTGACACCCGTAATGAAGTGGATTTCCATCTCTAGGGGAGTTCACTATCTCCGGCTGCTGACGTATGCCCATCCCATCCCTGTTTCACACAACCTCTCTCCACCACCACCTTTCTCGAGGCCATGTGTCTCTGGCTCTTTGCAAACTGATAAACATTTGGTCGGGAAAACAAATTGTGGTTTTAGATTTGGATGAAACCTTGATATCGGGAGTTCATTTACTTATTTTACCCTCGTATCGTTTGAAGTTGGTGAGAGAGTTGTTGACAATTTTAACGAGAGTTCATCGGGATCGATAGAGCAGTCATGACGGGGGGATGAAGATGGAAGGAGATCTCGTATCGGGGGTTAGTGTAGGTACTTTTTTCTTTTTTATATATATTTTAACTTGTATATATGATTTAGGATCTGTTTGGTTAATGTTGGAAAATGAAAATGGAAATGAATTTTCATTCCCCTCAGTTTAATCTGGAATGAAAATTTGGGTTTCTCGGGAAATAAGTCAATTATATTATATAATACCAAACAGTTTATTTTATTTTAATTCATGTTGATTACTACTTAATACCTTTTTACCAAACACCCCCTTAAACACTTGTACACAACTCTGTTTTTTTTCATAAGATTTTATTTCTAATTAATTTTGAAAGCCAACGTCATAAATCAATATTTGAGTGAAATAAAAAAAATCTTCTATTTTAAAATAATGACTCCTAAGGTCAAAAATATTTGAAAATCCCAGGAAAACACACACACACGCACGCACGCACGCGCGCACACACACACACACACACACACACACAGAGGGAAGGGTTCAAACGAGAACACCTTCATTTTACGAGAACGCGAGAACACCTTTTTACTATAGACAATCACATGTGATACTATTATTCCATCATATATGATACACATGTGATACTGAATCAGAGACGCGGACGATTTTTGATGCGATCTTGGTTGCGGGCCAAGTCGCTCTTACACCACTAAGTCTCCTCACAAATATTATCACATGTGATAAGGGTGTTATTGATATGATACTATTATCCATCACGACCATCACATGTGATGCTAAATCATAGACGCAGACAACCTTTGACTCGTCCTAAGTCATAAAACACATCGTCCACACATCATAGGGTCCCTTCACGCGTATTTTCACATGTGATAAGGGTGTTCTTGCGTTCTTGTAAAATGAAGATGTTCTTGTTTGAACCTCCACACACACACACACACACACACATACATATATATATATATAGTTTAAGCAAGGGAATTAGTTTTTGATATGTCACCAATCTGTGAGAGATTTTTTCCTTCGTTAATATCCATCACTGATACTTTGGTTTTATAGTATTGATTCTTTAAAATTCATTTTATAACATATTTTACAAATTTCAAATTAAAATTATTTTTCAAGAAAAAACTATGTACTTTCTAGGAAAATATTTTTCATCTTCAATGTCAATCCCTTGGTCATAATTGTACTTGACCAATCAAACATAGCCTTCATTAGTACACACCAATCTAGCAACAAATTAATTAATAATTAACACAAAATTAAAATAAATAATCACAAGAGTCGTACTTAATTGGTTTGAGCTTGATTCCAAAGATCAAAAATACCAAGAGGTCTCATGTTCAAATCAAATGAGAAATAAAAATCTCCTTGTGGCCATGAAGGTTCAAATGCGGTGACTCCGGACTATCTGCAAAACAGGTGGTCGCCCTGAAATTAGTCGGCTCGCATAGCGAGTTAGATATCCAGGTTAATAAAAAAAAATATATATCATTTATATATTTATTTATTTAAAAATTAATTAAAGATCATACACTTTGAACAACTTATTGTTTTATGTTGGCAAGATTTGAGCTTCCTAACATCCCATAAAATTTTTGACCAATAACAAGAAGATTCCTCCCACCCCCACCCC